GCAAAGTGACCGAGCAAGGAGCTCAACGCGGGTCGACTCACCACCCTTCTTTCCCTCATCCCGCCTTCTCCCCCTTGCGTCCAGGAAGCCGATCGATCCGGTTCAACGTCGATTCTGGCCAGTTCGTTCCGATTCAAGTCCGGTGCGACCCGATGTTCATATGGCGCAGCTGTGCGGCCTGGCGCGGCTGATCTGACTTCGTTCCGATTCCGTGCCGATGCGGCCCGATCCGACGCACGTTCCGATCCGATCCGATTTTCCGATTCGATGCTGGCTGGTCCTCCCCACGCATTTCTGTTGCAGGCGATCTCTCGCCTCCAATACCCGAGTTCCCCCCCCAGAAAAACTGACTGGGGTCATCCCCGCGGGGGGCATCGGACGCACCTTCCATCGAGGATGGGCGCCCCCCCCACAGCATACCCTCACGTTTGGTTCGATATTTTTTATCGAGCCGAACGAGCCACCATAAAGCTAGGGATTGGTATCGCCATGCCCCCCGTTACTTTCGATGTCTGGGAGCCTCGGGAGGCGACATTGAAATCAGCTTTTCCTGCATTTGGACCGCATTTGGCCCTGTCTCCTGCTCCTCCTCGCCCTCCCTGCTCCTCCCACTCGTTCTTCTTCTTGCCTCCCCTGTGAGCGGGCGAATCCAGTCCAGATCCGGTCTCAAATGTATCCCACATCTGGCCCAAATCCAGCCCAAATCGGGCAGCGGCCGTGGGCCACGTACAGTGCCTTTTATAATACATGCTCCGCGTGCGGATCATGTATTAAAAATGCATGGTTTAGTATCAAAAACAACGATGAGTTCATGCATACATTTGTTCAGAAATTGATCAGGTATTTAAAATCATATTTTAAAAAACCCATGTATTAAAAACTGCCCTGTAGGCTCCCATGGAAGAGACACCAAGGTTGTCGCCGCCGCCGCCGCCCCGTGGCCCTCGGAACGGGGGCCGGGTAAGGGCCCTTGACGCAGAAGTTCGCCTAAATCTTCTTGTCCTCGCCAAAATTTCCCGTCCTTGACGCGGAAGTTCGCCTAATTCTTCCTGTCCTCGCCAAATATCTCCCGTCCTTGACGCAGCAGTTCGCCAAGTTCTTCCTGTCCTCGCCAAATCTCTCCCGTCCTTGACGCAGCAGTTCGCCGAGTTCTTCCTGTCCTCGCCAAATATCTCCCGTCCTTGACGCAGCAGTTCGCCAAGTTCTTCCTGTCCTCGCCAAATATCTCCCGTCGTGATTCTCTTCCCGACGCGAGGATGTCAGGGTCTAGGCTTCAAAGGTCGACCATTGGATCTGTTCTGGCGCACGTCCTGAGCAGAATCTCGAGGGGAGTGCAGTCGTGGGCCATGGCGAGGAAAGCCCCCCAGAGCCCCAGAATAGGCTTGACCTTCGAACTCCGCCCTGGGAACCTAGTCGGGCGGGGCTGGGACGAGGATAACCCGACCTATACGACCACCCTTCGGGTGATAAGGAGGTTGTGGGGGGGGACAGGGGGGGAACCAACATCTGACTCAATCGATCTCACTATCGATCTCACTCAACGGGACACCACGGGACACTTGCCAGTCTCACTATCGATCTCACTCAACGGGACACCACGGGACACCGCGGGACATCTCTCGATCTCACTATCGGTCTCACTATCAATCTCACTATCGATCTCACTCAACGGGACACCACGGGATACCTCGGGACACATCGGGACACCACATCGATCTCACGATTGATCTCACGATCGATCTCTCTTTTTGGGACACCATGGGACACCTCGGGGCACCACATCGATCTCAGTATCGATCTCACTATCGATCTAACTATCGATCTCACTCAACAGGACAACACGGGACACCACGGGACACCGCGGGACACCGCGAGCCACCGCCAGACGGACGGAGGGACGGGCGGGCGGGGGAGAATCATTTGTCTCGACTTCGCCCTAGCAACGGCGAACACCACGGGACACCACGAGACACCACGGGACACCGCGAGCTACCGCCGGACGGGCGGGCAGGGGATAATCATGTGTCTTGACTTCGCCCTAGCAACGGCGGGTTCATTCTCTCGCGGGCCCATGCAGCTTCGCCTCGCCCGCACGCACGGCACGAACGAAACGAAACGATTTCCCGGTTGGGGGTCTCCGTTCCATTGCGATCTCACCTCCCAACCTCCGATTCCACAGCGTTCCAGAACGCTCTCAGAGCGTTCCGGAGCGCTCTGAGAAGGCCGCGGCGCCCGAGACATCCCCAGGAGCCGCGGGATCTCAGAGGTTCTCGAGTTATCCCCACCCGATTATACAATCTTCCTGGCGTCTTCTGAACTCACGGGCCGCCGCTATCTCGGAGGGAGGAGACGCGACACCAACACCACCAGGGGGGCCACCTCCAGCGAAGAGGTCCACGATGTCTCCCCGAGCTGGGGGCTGGGGATGTCTCGAGCGCGAGGGGGGGACCACACCACCAGGGAGACTGGGAGAACGAAGAACGACATAAACACAGAATAACTCGGAGGTCCGCGCGGATTTCTCGGATCCGCGCTGGACCCCCCTGGCGGCGCCTCCGGCGCCGCCCTTGGCGCGCCCCGCGCGCCAAGGAGGGGGTTCCATCGCCGATCCGAGAGATCCGCGAGGACCTCCGAGTTGTTATGTTTATGTCGTTGTTTGTTTCCCTGGAGACCCCCCTTGCTCCTCGCCTCTCCTCGCCCTGGTTCGGGGGCCCAAAGATATGCACCACCACCACCTCCCTCCCCCCCTCCCTCTCGCTGGAAAGAGGAGAGAGGAGGAATCGACGTGGTGGTGGTGTATATCCTTTGGGCCCAGCTGGTGGTGCTGGTGTCGCCTCTCCCTCTCCCCAGCTGTCGCCGCAGTCGCCGCTTCCCCCCCAGGAGGCCGCCTGGCCGCCGAGGGGCCCGCCGCTGCCCGGGCAGGTCCGGGCCCAGGAGCGGCCCCGCCGCGGCCCCGCCCCGGCCGCCCCGACAGGGCTCGTTTCGACCCCTCCGCTTCGACTCGATTCGATTTCGACGGCTTCCGATTCCGAGGCGGTTCGACTTGGCATTCCGATTTGGGCTCCAGTTTCCTACAGTCGGCCGGGATTAGTAGGTCGACCCTGCCAGCTCAAGGGTACCCTCGCGTCCTGTGCCTCGCGACACGTGCCTTCTTACACTCCTATGGCGATGTGGCCCTCGGAAGGGTCTTGTGTCCTCTCGCGTGTCCTGTCCAATCAAGGCCGACTGGACCGGATGCATACTAGGCCGCCGATTTTCGCTGATTCCACTTTTCCCGACTCGGCTGCCGATTTCCGTCGATCCGATTCATTTCGACCGCCGATCCGACTTATCCATTCGATTCTGGGCTCTTCTGCCCCGACGCTTGGCAGCCTTTTGGGACCCTGGCAGGCAGGCAAGCAGGTGGGCCAGGCAGCATCCTGAAGGATGCGCGGGCTGATAGGCAAGGTGAGGAGAACGAGTATCGTCTTGGGAGGAAGGGGGTGGGAGGAGGAAGGATCTGAGCAATAGCATCCGGATGCAATGAACGATGCCTTCGGCCGCGATGGTTGATATCGAAGAACAAAAAGCTGCATAAACATAAACTTTTGACGCTCTGCGCGGATTTCTTGGATCCGCGCTGGATCCAGAAATCCGCGAGGAACGTCAACAGTTTATGTTTATGTCGTTTTTCTTTGTTCAATGATAGGCAAGGGCATTCGTGGTTCCTGCAAGCGCTCGCTATGGGAAACTCGTCAAACTGGGCCGCACGTTTTTGTTTCACAGCGGGTGGTTGTTTGCCCTGCTTTTCGGTCACCTGGGCCCTCATGGATCGATCCAGCTCGAAGAATGGCGCAGAGAAGTGGAGTCCAGGGCTGCGGTAGTGATACTGTGCGGCATCGCCATTTTTTCGCAAAGTCGGATCTCGGAGCCAGGCAGTTCCGAGGGGGGTCGCCACCTGTGGGGTCACCAGCCCCTCCTGGAAGCCGAGGGTCGAGGGGAACGGAGGATCGAGGGATCGATTGGACCTTGGACGGTTTAGGCTGTCTTTTGGAGTCTTGGGAGCTTTGGGTTTAGACCTTCCACATGGGGCCCGGGCAGATGGGGTCGGAGGATTGGGCTGCAGAGCCGATGCATCGGCGATGTGGCTCGATGTGGAGCCTGATTTTCTCCGCGTCCACGGCGCCGAGACGTTGCCGACGTCGGCGACGCATCGCCGATGCATCGCCGATGCGCGATGCGGCGATATCCTCCGACCCCCTCTGCTCGGACACATTCGAGAGGCCTCTAGTGTGGGGGGTCCAGCTGGGCCTGGATTCCCGAGGAGAAGGCCGCCCCCCTAGTTGCGACCCCCCCTTGGCGTTGCCTCGCGACGGGCTACCGCGGAAGCCCGTCTCCAAGCACTGCCGCGCCATCGTTATCGTCGTTATCGGTCTTCGCAGTCATCGTCGCAGGGTCCATTTCGATGCGCTCGATCGGATTCGACATCGATTCCAGTCAGCCCGATCTGATTCGATTCCGATCTTCTGACGATCCGATGCGGCCCAATACTTGCATGGCGCTGTTGTGCAGCCTGGCGCAGCCGGTCCGATTCGATTTCGACTGCGTACCGACGCAGCCCGATCCGAAGCACATGTCAATTCGATCCGATTTCCCGACTAGATGATCCTAGCGTTTTCGTCACCGCCGTCGTCGTTTTCATTGCCCTTGCTGTCGTCGAGGGAGTCGCGTTCCAGCCTCTATACGCGTTTTCAGTGCTCGGTCTGGACGGCTGGGGCACGAACGATGGGGACGGGGGACGAGGAGATGAGCGGATGAGGATGAGGCGGCGGGCGAGAATAAGAGCAGCTTCCACTGAGGTGTCAATGCGTCCTCCGAGGTTTCACGAGGGACTAGAGGAGAAGGACAGATAATGATGGGGGAGGATGGGGGGAAGGAATAATTGGAACTGGCACGATACTACTGTAGTTGCTACGTTATCAGTATGTGTCGTCATTTTCCCGTTCCACGTATCTTCACTCCTCGTTTTCTACTTCATCATCCTCGCGATACCGTTACTGCACCAGTTGCGTGACACATGAATTTGCCTCGTGTGACTCTAGGGTGTTTGCATCGGTCTAGCAGGCTGGGGGGGCTGCGTGCGTTCAGCAGCCGGAGGTTGGATCGATGCGGTGGATCGCGTGTGTCTTGTCTGTATCTTTTCTCTCCTGTCCAATGCATTACGTTGATCAGGAAAGGATGCTCACCGCTGTGCATCGCTCAATCTACCAGGGCGCATGCTTAAACCGCCATAACCGAGGTATACATGTCATGGCATAGCATTGCGTCGCACTGCGTACCCTGCATGCATGCTGTGGAGCGTCGTAGCGAAGCGTCGCATACCACATCATGATACTGCATGGCAACGTGCCGCGCATGGTATCGCACACCGCAACATCGGATACTAACGCCTACGATAGCGTAAGAGTAAGATGCTCGATAGCATGCCAACGCTGTGAACATCATACCTCGACGATAACCCTTCAGGTGATACTGAGGTTGGGTGAGGGGACATAACCAACTGCTGGCAATTGCGACAGGTGAGATGATGACGAGGCTGGTGGCGTGCCCTCGAGTTGGCGACGACGCGTGATCAAGATGTTACGCCGCAATGTGATGTCACTATCGATTGCACTGTCGATGCATCTATCGATCTCACTGCTGGTCGCACGATCGACGCAACTACCGATCGCACGATCGACCTCACTATCGATCCAGCTATCGATCTCAGTACCGATCTCACCACATCTCTGCGTCATCGATCTAACTATCGATCTCATTATCGATCGGGACGCCATCGGGGCACCACGGTGGAACGCCACGGCGGGAAACCGCGGGACGCTATTGGACACCAAGGGACACCCGGGGGCACCACTGGACGCGGGACACCACGAGACACTATCAGAACACCACGGCGGGACACCGCGGAACACCATCGGGGTAACGCGGGACACCACGGCAGGACACACCCAATCTCCGCGCGCCCACCGGAGGGCCGGACTTTTGCATCCGAACCGTCCTAGCGACGGCGGGATCATTCCTCTCGCGCGGCCACTGCGAGACACCGCGGCGCACCATCGGGACACGGCGAGACACTGCGGCGGGACATCCCCAGACACCGCGCGCCAAACGGAAGGGCGGACTGTTACATCCGAATCGCCCTAGCGACGGCGGGATCATTCCTCTCGCGCGCCCACGCAGCTTCGCCTCGCCCGCACGCACGACACGAACACGAAGTCGAAACTGAGTTCCTGGGGGGGGAGGCTCTCCGTTTCACCTGCGATCTCAGCCTGCCACCTCCGATTGTAGCATACTGTAGGCTAGGCATGCAACACGTTACAAAGCGCAACACCGCACATCAGATCATAATAACATGCCGTTATCAGTGTAGCGTGACATATCATCTGACGGCGTGGCACACGCACGCACAGCAAATGGAGGCAACGCGTAGCAGAGTAGAGCAGCTTAGTGAAGCAGCACATCAACAAACGCAAAGCAAATAGAACCCCTGGACCTAACGAGAAACAGCCCGGAACCCGCGAGAACCCCGCGAGGCTCAACCCTAGAGGACACTATTGCGGGACCTGGTGGGGAGTGAAGACCACCGCCGCCGACAGTCTCTGCCACGTGGCGGGGCAGCGATGAACCAAGACAAACAAACCACGATCAAGGCAGCAAGGAACCAAGACCAAGGAACCAAGGATCCAAGATCCAGGAACCCCGAGGAACGCAGGCGGGCGAATGCCCAGCAGTTCCCACCAGCTCTCCCTTCAAACACAAGGAAGAACACCTTAGGCAAAGCTTCATTGGAGAGCAACTTTCCTCCTCCTCCTCTTGCTCCTCCTCCTCCTCATCCTCCTCCTCCTCCTCATCCTGCCCATCCTCGTCCTCTTCCGCATCCCCCTCTCGTTCTCCTCATTGTCTTGGTGACTTGGTCTATCGTTCTTCCCTTCCTCCTCTTCCGAGGAGGAGGTGGAAGGGGGAGGGGAGGAGGACAAGCTAGGTGCGCTCGCGTCATATCTGACCTCCTACCTCTTCCTCCCATCCCATACCATGGCGTAGGTATCCTCTCTATTCGCACGGTCGGATGTCGAGCAGGGCAATGATCGCGAGAGGGTATAGGGTACGCGATGCATGGTAGAGCACGGCATGGCATGGCGTAGAAGAGCACGGCAGAGCGTAGCATGCCATAGCACGGCATGGCGTTGCGCAGTGAAGCATTGGCAGTGCATCACAAAGCATTGTAACGCAAAGGCATGGCATTGCACAGCGGCGCAGAAAACAACACCGCACAGCATGCCATGGCATGGTGCTGGGTTCCTTCGAGGGTAAGTTGATCGTCTTCGAGAGGTTTGGGCCGGTCTAGCTCCTTGGGCTCCCCGGAAAGCTCCACACAAGGCTGTGTTGATGGAGAGCACCCGCTGGCTCTGCTTTCAACATCGCCTTCTCAAAGCAGAAACGGGTGTTTCCGCTTGATACTTCCTGGGGGGGGCCTTCTGCGGTCCAAAAAATCAACGAATCGGCACCGAATGTGTAATCACTTCCGATGTTTTTTTCGGGGGGATGTGTTTTAGATGTTGGTGCTTACTTGGAAGATCCGAAAACGCCCGCGCTGCAGCGGGAGCACGATTTGGAACACCCAGAGGCGCAGAAATGGGGCCAGCGCTTCAGCGGGAGCAACACATTGAAAAATCAAGCGAAACACACATTTCCCAGGAATCCTGTGCGTAAATCAACAATGCGCGGAGGGGGGCCAGACCTCTTCCAGACGTCATCAGTGGAGAGAGGTGAGTAGTATTCATAGTGTGTAATTATGGATGAGTAGGAGAAGGAGGAGGAGCAGGAGGAGGAGGAGGAGGAGGAGGAGGAGGGGGAGGAGGAGGAGGAGGAGAGGGAGGAGGAGGAGGAGGAGGAGGAGGAGGAGGAGGAGGCGGAGGAGGAGGAGGCGGAGGAGGAGGAGGAGGAGGAGTGGGGAGGGGGACGAGGCTTCGTTCAGGAGGAGGGTGGGGGGTCGAGAAGAGGGAGCAGTACCAGGGGGGAGGGTGCTAGGCCGCACTGGGGGAGGAAGAGGATGAGGAGAAGGAATGACGGATGATGATGAGGAGGAGGAGTAGGAGGAGGAGAAGGAGGAGGAGGAGGAGCAACAGCAGGAACGAGGGTGCTAGTCTGCGCCGCCTCGAAGCAAAGAGCACGGAGGCTGCTGGCGCAAAGAACACAAACAAACGCAAACGAGGGACTCCAGAGAGGTCCACGGGGGCTCTCTCGCATGTCCTGCAGGGTTCTTGGAGGGGGAGGAGGGGGAGGAGAGGAGGAGGGGGTGTGGTGGAGGAGGATGACGAGGAGATGACGGGGAGGAGCGGGTGAGAATGAGGAGGCAGAAGAGGGCTGTTTTGGTAGTTGTTTGCACACCTCTTCCTGGATGTGGCGGCTGCAGTGGTGGCATGGTTTTCGTTTTTGGGGTGGGGGGGGCTCAGGGCCCATAGCTTTTCACCTGGGCCTCCAGGCTGGTCATGGGGCTTGCTGCACGTTCTTCAAGTGACCAAGGTCTTCTTCTCCCTCGGCGGCGAGGCAGTCCATGGATTGGTGGTTGAATCGGCAGTTGCATTACTCAGCTTGCAGTATTAAGGCTTGGGTGTGCACGAAGGCATTCTGCAGAAGGGACGGGTGGTGGTACACCGTCTATGCGCGAGTCCATGGTGGCAGTGGCTGAAATGTATGCGTTCCAGTGCCTGCGGTCTTGGAGTACGATATTACACATCTTGGCTGTCTAGTCGTTGGCTTCCGCTTGTCTCTGGGTGCTGCTAGTGGTTCGTCGTGTACGTAGCCAGCCTCTTCCAGGAAGAATCGGCGCGGGAGATGTTGTCTGCTTGACGTATTATTTCTTGATGCGTTAACGGCATTGACAGCGGAGGAGGAGGAAGAGGAGGAGAAGGAGGAAGGAGTGAGGTTCCTTCCTGCTCTTTTTCCTCCTCTCTATTCTCCCCGTTGCTGTTTTCTTTTTAGTGCAGTGCCTTGTCGCAGGTGTCCACTGTGGACCGTCGCCCTCCAACTGGTTGCTTCGGAAACGTTGGCTGATGGGAACACCCTCTTTGACCCTGGCGGTGGAGACAAGTGGTGGGGTCGCGGATTCAGAGGAAGAACAGAAAGATAGGAGGAGAAGGATGAGGAGGAGGCCAGAGGAGGAAAGGGCGAGGAGGCTGAGGGAGAAAGGGGCATGCGGAGTTGGAGGAGGAGTTGAAAGAGTTGGGGGCCCTCTCCCTTCCCCGCGATCCCTTTTTCCCTCCATCCGTGGCCCTCCCCCCCTCCCCCCCTCCCCCATCCTCCGTTGGGGAGCAACAAGAAACTGATCCCGACACTCCATGGACCTGTTCAGGGGCGCGTTCCGACCAGGACTTCGGAGCGAACCTAGCCGTGGCGACGAGGGCCACCCGAGAGGTCCAAGAGGGCTGAGACGAGGCGAGGGCAGCGTTAGCGGTAGCTTCTTACCTCCTGTGCGAACTTTCTCACTCCCTCAGCCCCTGGATGTCCCGACCCTTTCCGTTGCCCAAGCCCGGCGTTGCTTCCTCAGCTTGTCGTGTTGACGGGCGACCCAGGGGCCGATTGCGGGGAATACGAATCCGCGTGGCTTGCTTTGCTTGGTTTCGGAACACAGCGCCAATGATTTCACGTCCTGTGTGCCCTGGTCTCCTTCAGTCCCCTCCCCGTGGACGCCCTCCTCTTCTCCCGCCTCCCTGGGGATCTGGGGATCTGGGCGTCTGGGTGTCTGGGCGCAGCCTCGCGCAGGCCCTCGTGGGGCGTGGTGGCGGGGTTGCGTGCGGGCCCTCCGCCCGAATCGGCGCACCGCTCGCACGCCTGGCGGCCCCGAAGTCCACTGGAGGCGAGATTCGCAGGCGCGGTGGTCGCCGCTGCACACCGGCTTGGGTCTTTCGCCGGGGCAGTTGTGTTTCCTTTGCGAATCTTCCACGGAAGGCCCGCAGGAGGAGGAGGAGGAGGTGGAGGAGGAGGAGGCGGAGGAGGAGGAGGCGGAGGAGGAGGAGGGAGGAGGAGGAGGGGAGGAGGAGGGAGGAGGAGGAGGAGTATCTTTCGCCAGGGCAGTTGGGTTTCGCACGCTGGAGATCTTGGCGCCGCCTCGCGTCGCCTGCGCCGCCGCATCCCCGCGCAGGCGGCGCGCGACGGCGGCCGCGGCCTCGTGGAGGACGGCGGCCCCACTGGCCCCCCCTTCCTGGCAGGGTGCGGGAGGGGGTGTCCTCCTCCTCCTCTTCCTCCACCTCCTCCCCGTCCTCCTCCCCGTCCTCCTCCTCCTCCTCCTCCTCCTCCTCCTCCTCCTCCTCCTCCCCTCCTCCTCCTCCTCCTCCTCCCCGTCCACCTCCTCCTCCTCCTCCTCCTCCTCCTCCTCCTCCTCCTCCTCCTCCTCCTCCTCCTCCTCCGTCTCCTCCTTCTCCTCCTCCTGCAGGACAGGGGGAGGCGGGAGGGCCCTGAGATCCTGGCGGCTCAATTGCTCGATCCCCAGGAGAATATGGGAAACTTTGGGGGAAGTGGTGAACATGTGGAAGAATAGACGGAATCCTGCGATTTGTGTCTATTCATTTGTGTGTCCCCGGGCCCCTCCATCCGAAGCCGAATCGGCACAGCAGGGATCCCCGGGGGAGAGTGCTCCGGCCCCAGAGGGCTCCCCGCTCCTGCTCATGGGGGGGGTCCATGTAGAGGCCAAGGACTTGGGCCATGGATCGTGAGAAACACGAAAATCCAAGTGTCTACAGTCATCCCGTATACCAAGGATAGACAACCTTCCCAATGGTACCTTGCATGCTTGCCTCATCAGTCCATCCTGGGCCGCTTTTGCTGGCCGCGCCCCGCCCGCGAAGCGTCGACACGGTCTTCAAGGCCCTTGCATCCTGATAGTGCGTCCTTGTGATGCCGACTGCACCCACTTGTGTCTCCCTGGCCCACTTGTGTCTCCCTGTGTCTCCCCGCCCGCGGGCCCGTGGCCGCTCCGCGGCCGCCGCTCCGCCGCCCAGTGTGCGAGGCCCGGCGCGCCCGAGAGGGCCAGCACCTCCCGCCCCCCGCCTCAGGGAGGCTGGTCGCCGCCGCTCGGCGCGGCACCGCTCGGCTCGGGGACGGTGCAGTCGGCCCGTATCGCGCGGCTGCGCGAGAGGCACGCACGGGCCTCGGACGCCCATCTCGAAACTGCTCGAGTGGGGCGCGGCCCACGGAAGTGGCCAAGGATGGGCCGCGGAGGCAAGGATGCAAGGGTACCCGTGGGAAGGTCGCCAATCCTTAGTATGCGGGTTGTCTGTACGGGATTGCCGAGTCTTTGTTCACATGTGTTCAGCGTCTTTCGCCCCACCTGGTTCTGCCATGGCGCATCCCAGGAGGCTTTTGGAAATCCTTCGCCGCTCCAGCTCCTCGTCACATCTTCCCGAGTCGCCCGCACCCCACCCTATCAATGACATCATTATCACGTCGTTCTATCTCCTCCTCGCCTTGCTTCTCGTCCTCCTTCCCCTTCTTCTTCTCCTCCTCCTCCTCCTCCTTCTCCTTCTCCTTCTCATGCTCCTCCTCCCTCTCCTCCTTTTCCTCGTCCTCCTCCACATCCGTTCCCTTCAGTAGTGGCTTGCAGCGTGCCCGTGTGTGGAAGCAATCACGTCCCGGAATAGGGCGAGCGTGTGGGACAGTACACGAATGCAGGCGTCATTATTTTGGAAGCGCCTTGACCCAGCTTCTTTCGGAGGAAGAGAAGCGGAGGGGGAGCATCCTTCCTCTCCCCTCTGTACACTCATCCCCTCCCCCACCTCCTCCTCATCCTTCTCCTCCTGGTGCGCGTTGCCATTTATGATCAAAACTCGTTGGGGCAGACTCGCGGTCGCTTGCGCGAGAGCCAGTTTAGCGGGTGCGGGGAAGGGGAGGATTTTCGGCACAGGAGGGGGAACGGCTCGAGCAAGGGTCGTGCCAGATGTTCCCCCATCACTGTTCACCACGTCTGCTGGTAGTTTCTGGTCCCGGGGGCCCTCACGAACCGGCTCGGGATGAGGTGCTGGCCCCGGGAGAGGTGGTCGAGAGTTTTCTAGGGGCTGGCGCCTCGAAGCAGTCAGGTCGTCAAAGGTCTGGGAAGAGGATGGAAGGAGCAGCGGACGACGAGGAGTAGGAGGAAGGAAGAGATGCAGGATGGAGGAGGATGAAGGGAGGAGGGCGTAGGAGGAGGATGAGGAGGAGAAAGAGTTAATCAGGGGGAGGGAGGGGGAGGGAAGGATGAAGGATGGAAGAGGACGAGGAAGAGGAAAAGGAGAAGGAGAGAGGAGAGAGGAGGAGAAGGATGAGGACCAGACCGAAAACCAAGGGTTTGCCTACGATGCTGCAGTGCACCCTCCCGTCCAGAAAGCGCCCCCCCCCCCCCCTGGGGAAGGCGAGCGGCCCCATGGGCTTACAGTCCAGGCGCGACCTCGTTTTAAGAGAAGCAGCCTCCACTCCTTCGCGCTGAAAGGGAATGCGACATACAGTCGGCCCAGTTTAGTGGGTCGGCCCTGCCAAGTCAAGGGTACCCTTGTGTCCTATGTCTCGCGACCCATGCTTCCTACATTCCTGTGGCAATGTGGCCCTCGAAAGGGTCTTGTGTCCTCTCGCGTGTCCTGTCCAATCGAGTCGGACTGTAGTGGGGCCACGAGGCTCAAGGAAATGCATGGCGACAGTCTCGCATTTTGTGTTTTTTGTTGAAGAGCCGCTCTCCATCCGTGCAGCTGCCCCACAATCTTCATCTCCTGCTCGTACAACCTAACGAAGCCTTAAGCGAGAGCCCCATGTTGAAAGTCTACCGCCTCCATCCGTGTAACGATTGGGCATTGTTTTTCACGTGCAATGTTTGATGAGGTTCTCGTGGTAGTGCCCTGACATGAAAATGTACCGCCATCTTTCCACGAAGTTTGTAGGAGAGGGGGAGGATAAAGAGGTGGCAGGTGTTCTGCTGGTCGCATGTGCAGATGCGTGGCCGGATCCACATTACACGCGCCCTGGTGGGGGCGCCAGTTGAGATCCCGACGCGCGCTGTGGATATGATCTGGAGGCTATCGAACAGAGGAGCGGGAAGTAGATGCCAGCCCGACCAAGCTTGAGCAGACCATGTGACTCCAAACATGTGGCGCGCGAAAAACGGTGTCGGGCGCGGCATGCCTCAGCCAGACCCCCATACACCTCCCAGACATTATGCTGACCACGAAGGACCCGCCAGGAGGCCCCCGCGAAAACAAAAAGGAAGGAGGCGAGGGGGAGGAGGGGAGATTTATCAAACTTCCAGGTCTGCGAGCGGTCCGCCGTTCTCAAGTCCTTCGGAGAGGGAGAGGGACCGACGGAGGGAGAAGGGTGGGAGGAAGGACCGCCAGGAAGCAAGGGCGGGACGGGGGAGGGATGAGGGAGGATGGACGGGGAGGAGTGAAAAGCGGAGAAGTAGGAGGATCAGAGTAAAACCAAGGCGCTTCAACGATGCTTCAATGCATCCACCCGTCCCAAGTTCACTCTCCCGACGTCCCTACAAGTACTCGCTCCCACTGGGAGGCGCTCCTCTTGACAGGCCAGCGCCCCATGGGGCTGCCGTGCTGATGAGACCCCGCTCTGTACAAGACCTGCCCCCTCCCTGCACATAGGGATGAGAAGTGCCACGAGGGCCTGTCGCAAAGTTCAAGGGCGTCCAGGAAGAGCTCCGCGTCTGAAAAGATGCGGGCTCCATTCGTGCGAGCGATATCCACACAGCTCTTGTATTTCACCTCGCGGGCATCTCGAGCGAGAGCCGCAGCTTGGAAACGTGAGCCGATCTCTTTTTGTGATACGTGCGCACAGTGTCGGATATCGGACTAGAGAATGCACAAACGTGCGAAACCGGAGCCTCATGCTGAGAAGGATTCGTCTTCCATCCGTGTGAGTGCCCGAATTCTTGAAGACGAAAGTGCGCGGAGCCAAGGCGAGAGCCCCAATTTTGAAACGGGATGTTGGCGACGAGTGTGCGCGGATCCGTGTAGAGATCCGCATTTTGAAAATTACGGGTGCTTCATCTGGGTAGTTGCTGCAAGTCGAAGCTGTAATACCACAATTTGTGAGGAGGTATCAGCCCAACGGCTGGCCCGTGTGCGCACGTCCCTCGCTGCTAAGGAAGGAACGAGTACGATGCCCAACAGCAAATGTAATCCAATGCCGCTAGCAGCCGCCGTTGGGCAGGTGCCTTCTGTTCGTCTCAAGCGGACAATGCCCGCGGCAACACCGACAGCGAATCGTTGCAAACATCGGCTGGGAAGGCTGTTGGTCTTCACCCCCATGCCTCCGTATCCGTTTCGGTCGTACCAGTAGTGGTGCGACATGGAGTAGTAGGAGGTGGAGGAAGAGGAGGAGGAGGAGGAGGAAGGAGGAGGAGGAGGAGGAGGAGGAGGAGGAGGAGGAGGAGGAGGAGGAGGAGGAGGGAGGAGGAAGAGGAAGAGGAGCAGGAGGAGGAGAGGAGGAGGAGGAGAGGAGGAGAAGGAGGAGGAGGGAGGAGGAGGAGGAGGAGGAGGAGGAGGAAGGGGAGGAGGAGGAGGATGGAGGAGCTACTTGCAGAACATGGGGATGGCGGGAGACGGCGGCCCTCCGAGGCGGGAAGCGAGAGGGGGGGGCAGGCCTTCTGAGAAGGCGGCGGGGCTTCGCAGAGGCCCCCTGGCCTTCTGAGGGCCCTCCGTGGCCTTGCAGCAGGCTGAGACTGCTCCTCCGAAGGCCAGAGGCATCCCGATCCTTCTACGAAGGCCCGCACCCTCTGCATTCCCCCCATGAGGCTCTCTAGGAGGACCTTCTGAGAGGGCCCGCCCGTCCTTCGAAGGAGGCCCTTCCAAAACGCGCCGCCGATACAAGGAATAGGGAGGGAGGGAGGGAGGGAGGGAGGGAGGGTGCTCGGGTGCGCCAGCGAGTGCCGTGCGCGTTTGCACCATGCGCGGCTACATGCTGGCCCTGTGCGCGAGCGCGTTCCTGGACGCCGCGGACGGCACGTACTTCGGCCGCGGTCGCAAGGTCTCCCCCGAGGGCTCAGATCTCCGACGACTCGGTGCTGTTCATCGAAAAAAACAAAAATACATAAACATAAATTTTCGGAGCTCCGCGCGGATTTCTTGGATCGACGCTTGGACCCCGCGGCGCCCCTGGCGCCGCCAGGGTCCAGCGCCAATCCTAACTGGTTCGTGGTCGTGGTCGTGGTCGCGCAGTGAAGCACCAGATCGTCGGATGTCTGGGGGCCCCTTCGAGCCTCTGGGGGCCTGCTCTCCGAGAGCCCGGCTCGGCGCCCTCCGGGCTTCCTTGGGGGGGGGCCGTCCTCGGGCGCCGCAAGGCTCGTCCATCGCCAGCGTGTGTTTTTGATGTTCTCCTCCGCCTCCACGGGCTTGCGTTTTTCCACGGATCCTCCTCATCCTCCTCCTCCTCGATCTTCGATCCTCCTCCTCCTCCTCCTCCTCCTCCTCCTCCTCGATCCTCCACCTCCTCCTCCTCCTCGATCCTCCTCCTCGATCCTCCTCCTCCTCTTCTTCCTCCTCCTCCTCGATGCACCCCCCCTCCGCCTCCACGGGCGGGCGTGCGTTTTTCCACGGATCATCCGCCTCCACGTTTTGGCGTGCTTTTTTCTTTCTGCGTTGCACGGACCCCTCGAGCACACAAGCGGACTGTAACGTCTTTGCCCCCAGCCCTACCATTCCTTTCAAACGTATCCTTTTTCCCGCACCCCGTTTCGCCTGAGATCTCCCCAGCATTTAGGACCTGAAACCTGAGAGACTTGTAACAGCTACGAGGATGGAGGGCGTTTCCTTTTCAAAACGTAGCTCTCGCCCTAGCGCAGTGCACATTCGATACAACAGTTTGCATTGAAGGACGCGGACGGATTGTTTCGCGCGCATCCGCACTGGAACCTTTCAGTGGCTTCATGAGTCGTATGGTTGAAGTCTACGGACGTGTGTTCTGGCACGATTTAGGAGGTCAGGACGCAACGATCAAGCAGATTCGTGGTATTGAAGTCGCAGGAACGGCGTCCTGGCACGATGTAGGATAGACACAAGGAAAGAGCCACGTTGACTCTCGGCCTTGAAGTCCCATAAATGGTGTGTTGGCACGATTGAGGATTTTCAGACGGTTGTCTATCAATGGGGCACATCCAGCAATGAGTATATTTTATTGCAGGGACCTTTGACGAGAGAAGTTGGAGGGAGGCTTCATTGCCAAAGTTCATGCGTCTTGGGTTTACACTGGTCCTCCTGCTCCTCCCTCCCTCTTCCTCTTGGAGGGACCTGGGAGGGCTGCGGCCGCGGCGCGGCGTCAGTGTCCCCAGGGCTCTCGCTCGGCGGCGAGGTCCGAAAACTGGCCTCGCCAGTCCACGAGTCGGGCAACTCTCGATGGTCGGCGGGGGAAGGGCTCGGAGTTCGTCGAGCACGCGGCCAGATCTCAAAGAGCACACCTCCTCCTCCTCCTCGCTCCTCGCCCCTGGGCAGCTACTGGGGGCGAATCCGCCGCCGCCGCCTCCGCCGCCGCCGCCGCCGGCCGCCGCCGCCGCCGCGCCGCCGCCGCCGCCGCCGCCGCCGCTGTCCGCCGCCGCCGCCGCCGCCGCCGCGCCGCCCGCCGCCGCCGCCGCCGCCGCCGCCGCCGCCGCCGCTGCCCGCCGCCGCCGCAGCCGCTGCCGCGCCGCCGCCGCCACCCGCCGCCGCCGCCGCCGCCGCCGTCGCCCCCGCCGCCGCCGCCACCGCCGCCGCCACCGCCGCAGCCGCCGCAGCCGCTGCCCCCGCCGCAGCCGCCGCCGCCGCCAAGTGTACTGTGTATTGTTTTTTGACAGGGATGGTGGGGAGAGGCCGCATCGGGTTCGCTGCGCATGCTCCGAGTTTGGAGGTACTGTGTGTTTGTATGGATTTGTACAAGGGATGTTGGGGCGGGGCCCTCATTGTCTCGGGTTGGCTCCCAGTCGCCTGGGGGAGGGGGTGTATCGGAGGTTGGGGGGTGAGATCGAAGTGGAACGGAGAGCCCCCCTACCGGGAAATCGATCTCGGTTTCGTGTTCGTGCGTGCCGTGCGGGCGAGGCGAAGCTGCGTGGGCGGGCGAGAGGAAAGTCTCCTGTGGCTGAGGCGCGGCCGGACCAAATGATTCTCCGCCGGGCGGCCGGTGGCGCGCGGTATCCCGCCGGTGTCCCGTCGGTGTCCCGTCGGTGTCCCGATGATGATGTTGATGATGATGATGATGATGATGATGATGATGATGAATGATGATGATGATGATGATGATGATGATGATGATGATGATGATGATGATGATGATGGCGATGATGATGATGATGATGATGATGATGATGATGATGATGATGATGATGTTGATGTCGATGATGATGATGATGATGATGATGATGATGATGATGATGATGATGATGATGATGATGATGATGATGATGATGATGATGACGTCGATAGTGATATCGATTGTGAGGCATCGTCAGGAGAACAATCACCACTGTTGCCCATTGCTCGGCCCCTCCACCCCCCCCAACCTCCTTATCACCCGTAGGGTGGTCGTATAGGTATTATTAGAGAACAGTGATTGACAGGATCACGATGTCGGAGGCCTGGGTCGGGCGTCGAGGCGTTTTGATGTATCGTTGGCCTTTTGGGATCCTCCCTCCTGCCTCTCCCCTTTTCTCCCCCCCTCGCTCGGACCCTTAGGAACAAGAACATAAGTTGTCGTAGGTTCACTCGCCCGACGTTTTCTACGTTGACGTACATCGGTATTTGGAATTTGGCAGTGGCAGTCCATCGTGCACCACGAAGCCGATTTGGATATCATCATAGGCTCGCCCTGGTTGGCCACAACGCTGGGATCGGCACGTATGAGATTTGCGATAAGTGAAAGCGCGCCCCGCCGTAGCTCAGTCAGATGTTGGTTATTAAATTGGAGCCCAATGTCGCAGGTCGTTCCGCGAGTTACGTGACGCGGAGTCGGATCCCAGGGCCTTCAGCGACAGCGCTGGGTCAGCGCGTGCGCGAAAGGCGAGCAGTGGCCGCGTGCGCGGGCGCTGCTGAGCGTGACGTGGGAGGTGAAGCTGGTGCCCAACGTCGTCACCAACAGCGCTGCGACCAGCGAGTGCGAGAAAGGCGAGCAGTGGCAGCGGGCTCGGGCGCTGCATAGCAGAATGAGGGAGGCGACGGTGGAGCCCGATGTCTTCAGCTATGCGGGAGGCGAAACTGGAGTTCAACGCCACGAGCTACAACGCCGGGATCAGCGAGTGCGTCAGGGCCAGCAGCGGCAACGGGCCCTCGAGCTGGAGCCCCACGCCATCTGTTCTCCTCAGCACGAGCGAAAATGTTCTCGTGAGCACTGGCGGACATGTTCTCCTAAGTACTGGCGGAAACGTGCAGTGGCACCGGGCAACGGCGCTGCTCAGCGAGACGCGGGAGGCCCATGTGGATTCCGATGTCATCGGCGACTCTGCTGGGATCAGCGCGTGCAGGAAGAGCGAGCAGTTACATACGGCCCTGACGCTACTCAGCAGGATGCGGTAAGCCAAGCTGGAGCCAAACGTCATCAGCTGCAACGCTGGCATCAACGCGTGAAAGAAGAGCGAGCTGTGACAGCGGGCTTTGGCGCCCCTCAGCGGGATGTGGCACTCATGTCGTGTGCATGTCGTCACCCTGGTGCCCGCAACGGTGACGACATGCAGACGACCTGCGCCCTCGGGCCCCTTTGGAGCCTGGCGGCAGGCGTTGTCGCCGCTCGGCGTGTCAGGGCGATGCGGGAGGCGAAGCTGGCGCCCGACGTCATCAGCTACAACTCCAGGATCAGTGCGTACGAGGACTGCGAGCAGTAGCGGGCCGCGGCGCTATTCAGCATGTCGTGGGGGGCGAAGCTGCAGCCCGACGTCAGCAGCACAGCGCTGGTACCAGCGCGTGCGGCCTGACGATCGGTGGCAGCTGGCTCTGGCGCTACTCAGCGAGATCCGAGAGATTACGCTGGAGCCCGACGTCATCAGCCACAACGCTGGAGTCAGCGCCTTTGGTCGACACCGACGCCGACGCCAACGCCGACGCCGACTCTGACGATACCTCCGATGCCGAAGCTGACGCTGACGCCGACTCGACGCCACCGACGCACGCACGCCTGGCCACGGTCACCACTGACCGTCGGCCGCGCCTGCCCTTCGCTGACCTGTTCTGAGCTTCCCCACGCTGCTCCCCCTTGCCGTTTCTCGCCTGGGCGCTCCATGGCCCGCCTGGGGCGTGGCTGCCCAATGCGCCGTGCCGGCGCTCTTCGCCACTCCCCCCTTTCAGCGGAGCCAGTAGCGGCCAGCCGGGCCCTCGGCACCGCCTGCCTCCGCACTCCCGGTCTGCGGTTTCCCTGACCATCGGCTCGCCTGCCCGCCCTCTCGCCCCCCCCCCCTCCCAGGGCCGGCGTCCCCTCCTCCTACCTGCTTGTCCTTATTTGCCGCATTGCTGCACCTGCTCGCTGCCTCGCGCCCCCCCGCGCTTGTCAGCGCTCCCCCCCGCGCACTCTCGGCTGCTGCCGAATGCTGCGCTCGCGCTCTCGCCGCCGGTTCCGCCGTGCGCCCTGGGGCCAGCCGTGCGGGCCCCACGGCATGCTGCGCCGCTCGCGCCTTGCCCACCCCCCTGGTGGCGGCCGCTGCGCTTGCTATTGGCGGGCTGGTTTTGCCGCCCGCCTGTGGCTCTAGCGCGCCTCTCCTCCGGCCGCCCCTGGCTGCCGCTCCCCGCCCGGGTGGGTGCCCTGCCCCGCCGCTGCATCCCCTGCCTCGGCAGGTCGGATCGAAGGCTTTCTGCACAAAAGTTGTGTCCAGGCACGGCCTGCGGCTCGCGCTTTGGCTCCTCGCCCCGCCCTCATCAGGGCCCCTTGCAGTTTGCTTGGTGTTACCAGCCTGGAACATATCCTTATCCCTATGCTGGGCATCGCCTCGTCACGATGGCGATCTTAGGGATTCCCTTATTCTTTGAGGGCGAATCCCTAAGATTGTCATCGCCTTTTGGCGTGTCGATCTTAGGGATATGGATACGTTCGAGGCTGGTAATGGTGTGAGGCCAACCCGTCGCCCACGTGCTTGCCCCCCCCCTGGTCTGGCCGTGCTTGCTGCCCCGCCGCCGTGGCCCCTCCGTGCACGGCCCGCCCCCTCTCCCGCGCCTCGCAGGTCAGCAGATCTCGGGGTCCCCGCCGCCTCAGTTGCTGGGCCCTTGCCAGTTCCTTCCAGACCCCCCGTTTGGAGTGGTCATCGTTGGCTGGCCAGTCGCTTGGCATTTCAGAAGATCTCAGTGCTCAGCCGCCTCGCTCGTCAACGTGCCCGAGCCCCCCAGCTGGTGTGGTCATCGTCTGCTGTTCAGTCGCATGGAAGGTCAGAAGATCTCAGTGCTCAGCCGCTTCGCATTCCCACGTGTTTTCTCTCCCTGGGCCCGCGCCCGGCTGCCTTTGGGCTGCCTCCCCCCCGCTGCTGCCCCGGCGCCGCCGCTGGCTCCCCTCCCCGGCGCCCGCCCTGCCGCCGCCGGGCTTTGCTCTGAGTGGGCCCGGCCTCCTCTCTCCCCTGCCCGCGCCGGGCTTCCTCCTCTCTTCCTCGTGCGCACCGCGGCCCAAGTTGCACTTTGTGCGCCCCACGAGTGCCGCACCGCCGGAGCAGTCACCTCTGCCCAGTCGACGACGGAGAACATGTGCATGCGAATGTGTGTGTGTGTGCAACAGCACGATCTCGCCTGCCGTGTCGCCGCCCAACTCGACCGCAGCTGACCCGTCGTCGACTGCACGTACGCTCTCTGGTACGACTGTGGCCGCGGGCAGTCTGAGGATGCAGACGACGTCGGTCCCGACTGTGACCCCCACCCACTTGCTGCATCTCAGGTCAGCCTCTTCATCCGCTCAGTCCCTCCCTCCGTTTTCCGCAGCACCGCCCAAGGCCCGGAGCAGCGACGCTTCCTTTTCGCAGAAGCGCCACATTTCCCGCGACCTTTCCCGACCTCACGGCTGGCCCAAGCCAAAGTTTTCGGTCCTCTTCCCTCCGCTGCCCGCCATTATCCCTTCGTCTCTCTCTGATTCGTCCGCAGCAGCAGTCCGCTCCCTGAGCGTTTGCCGTTCTTGTTCTCGTTGTCGCTTGTAGCCGTGTGGGTTCCTCTCACATGTTGTCGCCCTCGTCGCTCGTTCTCCCTTTATCTCCGCCGTCCACGCCCGGACGCCATACGGGGCGGCCCTGCGCGCGAGGTCCAGTCCGCTGTGCCTGACGTATTCCGTTTCGTCGCTGCGCGCGGGGCTGCGATCGCCAAGAAGTTTGCGACGACGACGACGACGACGACGACGACGGCGACGGCGACGACAACGACGACGACGACGACGACGAGGACGACGAGACGACGACGACGACGACGACGACGACGACGACGACGACGACGACGACGACGACGACGACGACGGCGACGGCGACGACAACGACGACGACGACGACGACGACGAGGACGACGACGACGACGACGAGGACGACGACGACGACGACGGCGGCGGCGGCGGCGGCGACGACGACGACGACGACGACGACGACCACGACGAGGCTTTAAAGCATGTGTATGCCTGTGTGTACGTATGTGTCTGTGCTTGTGTATGTACGCATCCGCGCTTCTTCCTGCGGCTTGTCGCCTGGCTTCGCCGCGCAACTGCGTGCGTGGCCGCGACGCCAAAATGTGGGTATGTGTGTGTGTGTGTCTGTGGTTTGGTAATGTTGCGTTTGTGCCTTTGTGTGTGAGTGAGTGGTTGAGTATGTTTGTATGCGTCTAAACCTCCTGGATGGGGTCGGCGTAGATGGGATCGGAGGACCGCGCCACATCGCTGATGCATCGACGATATGGCTCGATGTGGCAATCAATGTTCTCCAAGCAGGTGTGGCCGATGCATCGCCGATGTCGCCGATGCGTCGCTGGTGCATCCTCGATGCATCGGCGATGCATCGGTGATGCATCGGTGATGCATCGGCGATGTTTTGGCGATGCGGTGCGATCCTTCGACCCGGTTCACTCGGACCCCATCTTGGAGGCCTCTAGTGGTTTAGTTTGTTTGTATGCGTGTTCGTGTGTGTGTGTGTGTCTGTGTGTGTTTGTGTGTCTGTGTGTGCGTGCGCGTGCCGTCTGTGTCCCCCCTCCGCGGCGTCCGCGGCCGCCCTGTCCGTCCTCTTCCTCCTCCTCCTGGATGCTGGCCAATTCGCTTTTCGGTGCCCCCGTTTAGCTCTATCGCTAGTGCAGCCAGTCTGCCTCGCCGCTGACAAAAAAATGCGTGCGTGTGTGGGTGTGATTGGTCTCAGTTGTCGGCATATATGCATATCCATTGCTCCATGGCCAGGCCCATCATCCTGGGTCCAGGAGCTCGTGTTTATCCCTCGCTGGCCCAGACAGGAGGGCGCGTACATCGCTCCTGGGCCCAGCATTGGCACGGCCGGGCCTTGGACAGCGGTTGTGTGTAGAGACCTCGTCGCCCAAGATTGGTGGGCCCCTGGACAATCTGGACACGACCCCTCAAAACTGGCCCTGAGGATAGTGTCAAGAGATCCCTAGGGGCCACGGATGTCGGATGTCTGAGCTCTGCATCCACCGACCGAAAGTTCTGCCACTCCGAATGAAATTGTCGATGCTGCGGTCGGCGTTTCGGGGGAGCGCGCCCATTCTGACCAGACCTTGGGCCTTTGAGGGTCCCCAACCTCCTCGCGCTTTCCGCCCTTGCCCCTGCCAGCAGCGCCGACGTCGAGACGTTCTGCCCGCGCGCAGATATTTGTTCCGTGTGTGGTTCCCCTGCCTGGGCTTCCCAAAGAGCCCTCGCCGCCGCGGCTGGACATCCGCATGGAACGCTTGGCCAGGACGCGCTCCAGGAGATGTCAGGGGGCCGATCCCGCCCCCCAAAAAATGGCGCGCGCGTTCTGCCTCGCATCTCCGTGCCGCGCATCCGCAGTCGAGGCCCGGGGCCTGCCGCAAATTGCCCACGGTGGTGCACCCGTCCCAGTGATGGGTTCGACAGTTTGGGGGGCCCAGGTCGTAAGCAATACAGTCAACCCGCATAGTAGGGATGGGGAACCTTCTCAAGGGTACCCTTGCATCCTTGCCTCCTCGTTCCATCCTTGGCCACTTTCGTTGGCCGCGCCCCGCTCGAACAGTTTCGAAATGGGAATCCAAGGCCATTGCATCCTTACCGCGCATCCTTACCCTACGGGTTGACTGTAGGTGACGTCGAAAGTCCAGACCTCGAAGGCCCTGGCCTGAGCCCGCCCGTCTTCCGAACGGACCTGCAATCGAGCCCGCTCGGCCGCCGAGCGGGCCAGGCTTCCCCCGCCCCGCTGGAGCTGAGCCCGTTCGGCTGCCTCTTCGGTGGCCGAAGGCGCTCGAGCGCCGAGCGGGCTCAGGGAACCCTGGGGCGGGGCAGGTGAGCCCAGGATCAACCAAGCACAGGTTCACGGGGCCAACAGCACTAGCAGCTACGATTGGCTGCTTCCGAGCAGCCCTAGTTTACCCTCGGCTTCTTCAGAGGATGCCCGGTTGGTTCCTGGAGCCGCTTGGACCCCAGCTTGGCCAGCCGACCGCGGTGCGTCAAGGGTGTTTTTCGGTCGTTCGAGACGGACCTCGGCTTCCACCTCAAAGAGTTCGCGCTTATGCAGGCCTTGATGAGCGGCTCTGGGCTGATATTCAATCCCATGTGGGCGATTATTGTAGACCACCAATTGCTTGGTGTGAACGGAGTCATGGCCATTACTTCACTTGGCTGGGGCGTCACCACCCTGGTCCTGGGAGTTTTTGCTCATAGCATCGGCGGGGTGATCAGCCTGCGATTTGTGAACGTGATGTTCCTCTGCAGCGGAATGCCCGTGGGACAGCACATCGTCAGCAGTCTGATTCCGCCAGGAAGGCGTGGCACCGCGTTCAGCGTCATTGGCGTCTGCGGTTCGGTTGGCGTCGTCGCGAGTACGAAGTTGTCCACCACGGTTTCCGAGCTCCGCATATTTGGCATGATTGGTTGGCGTTTTGGGCTTGTCACCATCGGTGTGGCGAGCGTACTGTTTTCAATGTTTATCCCGTGTTGTTTGCGGCACGATGCCGCGGACCAGAAGTCATCCAGACCAGAAGGCGAAGGCGTCTTGGCGGAGGTGAGGCAGAACCTTCGAGATTTCAGTCGCATCCGAAGCTTCTGGGACATCGCCTTGTTTTGCAGCATGTACCAGGTGAGCTTACAGGCGATGATGTACTCGGCCATGTGGCTCCAGTACCGAGGGCTGTCCAACGCGCAGGTCGGGACTCTGATTGCGTGGGATTCTACTGGCGTTACCATGGGCCACTGGGCATTCGGCGCCCTCAGCGACGTCGTCGCGAAGCGGTATTCGCTGCGAGGCCGCTTGTTGCTTGGGCAGGTGTGTTGCGGGTCCATCGTGCCGCTGTCGTTGATTTTGTTTGGGATGGCACCAAGCGCGTCGGGCTCGGCCGCGACCGCTGGAGTCTTGTTTTTTACCCTCGGCTTCTTCGAAGGTGGATGGAGTGTGGGGGTGAATCGTGTAGTCTTAACGATGGTGGTCCCAAAGAGCCAGGCTTCTTCGCTGATGGCATGGAAGAGCGTGCTCGAGCAGCTGTGCGGGATGCTCATTGTGCCAGTGTTGGTGGGGCTGTCTGCATGGAGACACGGTTACGAGTCCTCGGATCTGCCAGCCTCACAGACGCCACCAGCGCACATGGCGAAAAACGCCACCGCGCTGTCCAGCATGCTCAGAGAGTGTGTTGCGTTGTCGCACGTCGGCATGTTTCTTGTATATTTCGTCATGCACTGGCACCTCGAGAAGGACATTGACGACCTCGACGCAAGGGAGAGCGTCCCCGTAACTGATGCCAAGAAGGCTGAATACCGTTTCGCGGCAATCGGCGCGGCGACAGCTTGGTCAGACAGTCCAGCCCCCCAGTCCGTTGCAGGAGGCACGTGCAGCAAGGACCGCGAGGGTTGTGTCGAGGATTAGGTGAAGCAGGCAAGCGTGGTTTGCGAGTTCATGCTCCCGCGAAGACACGCAGGACCCGTAGGTCTGGCACAGGGAGACCCAGAGCCATTAGTCAGAGTGAGGGGGCCGTAAGGTCATTCATTGTCGTTGGGTGCGTGGTTTAAGTGCGGATCCGTGGTGAGAATTATGCTTGTTGCGTAGTTGAATGTTAATTCCTCAACAATTACTATTGTTGGACACCTTGAAGGCGCCCTGGCGCTCTCGCCGAGGCGCCGGCTACATGTTCATTGAAAATGAGGCTCACGCTCGAGCGGTTTGGAGGACCGCCAAAACCAGCCCCCCAACAACAACAACGCTCCCGCTCGAGACTTCCTTCTTTTTTACTCAGGGCTGGTGTTCTTGCTCGACGCCGTCCTAACAAAACCAGCGCTCCCGCCCGAGACTTCCTCCCGTTTTACCTTGGACTGGCGCGCTAGTCTTTCTCTCAGCGGCGCCGCCCCCAGCAAAAACAACGCTCCCGCTTGAGGCTTCCTCTCTTTTTTACTCAAGGCGGTGCTCCTCTTCGCCGCAGAAAACCGCCGCCACGACAAAGCCAGCGCTCCCGCCCGAGATTCCTTCCGTTTTACGCTGGACTGGCGCCCAACTCTCTTTTGAAGTGGCGCCGCTCCCAGCAAAAAACAACGCTCCCGCTCGAGGTTTCCTCTTTTTTTCCTGAAGACCGTGCTGTTCCTCGCCGCCGGCAGCCCCCGTCCCGACAAAACCACGGGTCCCGCTCGATGCTTCCTCTTTTCTTTCTCAAGGCGGTGTTCCTCCTCGCCGCCGAAAGCCGCCGTCCCAACAAAACCAGCGTTCCCGCTCGAGACTTCGTTTTGTTTTACGTTGGACTAGCGCCCTACTCTCTTCAGCATTGGCGCCGCTCCAACAACAGCAGCAGCCCTGCTCGAGACGTCCTCCCTTTCTATTCAGGGCCAGGTCCTTGCCTCACCGCCGACAGCCCCCATCCCCACCAAGGCAATCCTGTCTTTCGATACTTCCTTGTGCTTTACCCTTTGCTGGGGTTCCACTGGCGGTCTCGCATCGGCGCAGCAAGGCGCGGGCCTGTGTTTTCGAGGCGGGATCTGTTGAAATTCCTCGGAGGAGGTGGTTGCAAGACCTCATTGGGCGGGAGACCTGGGAATGGGAAAAACGGACCCCGCTATAGAACAAGAGTCCCCCATTACGTGGATGGTCATCTTGATGGTCTCATGCTTCGTGTGGAAACATCGCGATAATGGTATACTGGCTGTTGTTGTTATTGCTGTTGTTTGGTGTCGTCGTCCCCCCCGCGACCCAGCCCGCGACCCACCCGCGACCCACCCCGACCCACCCCGCGACCCGCTCGCGACCCACCCGCGAACCACCCGCGACACGCCTGCGACCCACCCGCGATCTGGCCCACGACCTGGCTCACGACCCACCCGCGACCCACCGTCGACCCACATGCGACCCACCTGCGACTCAACCCGCGACCCACCTACATTTTAAGAAAAAATCGGTGCTTGCGGCGGGCTTGTTGTATAGCTTGAAAATGTTGCGCCTGCGGCGGGCTTCTTCAGAGCCTTGCAGACTGCAAACGTCCCCGTCGACCCCTCACTCTTATCCGCAACTTCGGGGTGCTACGTATTTTTGTTGTTGAGATGCTCGGATACGTCCATCTAGAGCAATGAGCACTGGAAGTTGCAAATGGGTTCTGACCTGAACCAGCATTTGCATTCCTTCGTGCCACGCCGGCAAAATAGCATCCGACAAGCGCCCGAGCTTGTTGCCGAAGTCTCTCTCTCTCTGTCTCTTCCTCTTTCTCTCTCTCTCTTTCTCTCTCTCTCTCTCTCTCTCTCTCTCTAATTGTATATACTTATCTTTCTATGTTCAGAATCCCCGGGCTGTGCTTGCCCTCAGGGGGGTTATTTTTCTTCTACGGAACTGGGCTGGTGTGCCCGTCTGGCGGCTACGTACCCGCCGTCGCTTCCCCGTCGCCGCCTCGTTGCCGCCCGTCGTACGGGCCGGTGTGCCGCTCTGGCGGCTATGTGCACGCCGTCGTCGCCCCGTCGCCGCCCCGCCGCCTCGTCGCCGCCCGTCGTCTGGGCCAGTGTGTCGCTCTGGCGGCTGTGTTGCCGCCGTCGCCGCCGCGTCACCGCCTGTCGTCTGGGCTTGTCTGCCGCTCAAACGGCTGTGTGACCGCCATCGCCGCCCCGTCGCGGCCTCGTCGCCGCTGTCGTCGCGGCCTCGTCGCGGCCTCGTCGCGGCCTCGTCGCGGTCTGTCTGCCACTTTGGCGGCTATGTTGCCTCCGTCGCCGCCCCGTCGCCGCTTCGATTCCGTGCAACATGTCAGCCATCTATGTTGTGCATACTACGTGGTGCAGTTTATGTGGGGCGATCTGTGTTGTGCAATCTATGTTGTGCAGTCTGTGTTTTGCGATCCCTTTTGGTGCAATGTTTATGGGGTGCAGTTCACCCTGCCAGAATTGAAGTTGTCGGCTCAATTGCTCGCGCAATCATCCCACCCACCCACCCGCAACTTGGTTTGCAAAATCCATGCGGTGGCGATTGCGATGATTGCTCGGCACTGGCTGGCGCATCGCCACGGTCGCGCTAGCGCGCGCATGCTCGCGCGAAAAACGGCCAGCTAGTTTGGCGCAGCCGACGCGGCCGCGGTGGCGCTGACAGCACAGCTGGGCACCTTCCAGCAGGCACGTCAGTGCGAGTCGGCGACTTGTGCGGGCGCGGTATCATGGCAATGTCGACGACGGTAGACGCGACGATAATAGTAGCGATGCTGGTGACGATGCTGAACACGACGACGGCACGGCCAATGGCGGCGCCGATGCCGATCACGCCGACGACGATGACGATGTCCTCGCGTCGGTGATGCAGGCTTTGGAAGGGCATTGACATGCGCGCGCGGTCGACGCGCGAGAGTGGCCCGAAGGGTGTTCTTTGGCACCGACCGTGGCCCCCCAGCACGCGCGCAAGGGCGTTCGAATGGTTTCGCGACTTGCGGCGCGAGAGCCCCGTTCCGCAGTTCTTTACAGAAGATGTACAAAAGCGATGGTAATCCTAAAGATCCGAAAGATCGCGAACGCATGCTTCTTAAATAGCTGAGGTTGCAACACTGTGTTTTTTATGTGTTCGGGACACTCGATTCTGAAGTCCCTGCGGAATCGCAGTTGTGTGAACATGGTTTAGCATGCACGCGCGACGACGTGCGCGTGCGCTCTGCTTCCCATGTGTTGCAAGGGCTTGGCGACACCACGCGCGCAAGGGCATTCCTGCGTGTCCGACACGCGCGCGCGCGAAAAGCCTTCTTGGTTGCATGTTACGAAGATTCGCAAAACCACGAGCGCAGGCTTTGTCTGAAAGCTCCCGTTGCAAAGCAACGTGTTTTTGTTTAAAAAACTATTTCAGGACGCTTGATTTTTCACCCCTCACGAAACATCAGGTTTTTGTTGATCGATTGTAGAATGCGCGCGCGATGACTTGCTCATGTGCGCTCCGTTAATTTTTCTGCATTGGGACATTCAAAAGCTGATGCTGTTTGAGAAATTCGTGCGCGCATCGAATTTTCTGCAGTGGATGAAAGTGGGATGCCAGTTTAGCTGGTATGATACGAATGCAGATCTAGATTGGACCATGCGGCAGATTGACACACACATTGCAATACGAAAAAAGAGATGCCGTGAATGCGGGTGGGGGTCGATCCTAATATTTTGTTTGAAAGAGAATCCACGTGGTGCAAGTAGTCTTTGTTCGCAACGAATTGTTTCGCGACTGCTCGCGCAATCATCCCACCCACCCACCCGCAAGTTTGTTTGCGAAACAAATGCGGTGGCGAAGGCGATTAGTGATTGGCGCTGGTTGGTGCATCGTTGCAACCGCGCTAACGCTTGCAGGCTCGCGCGAAGAGCGGCCACGTAGTCTGGCACGACCGACGCGGCCGCGGTGGCGATGACAGCTGGGCACTCCCAACCGCGTCTCGCAGGCCGCGATGTTGCATGGGCACTTCAGTGCGAGTCGGTGATCCGGGCGGGCTCGCTAGATGGACGACGCCGACAAAGCCAGGCACAATCATGATAGTAGCTGTGCTGATGGCGATGATGACGATGTCGACGGCGATGCCAATGACAACGCCGATGCCGATCACGCCGAAGACGATGATGGTGTTCGTCATGCGCGCGGCCGACGGGCACGAAGGGTCCGCATGGTGTCATTGAGCGAAGATCGCCCACCCCCCCCCCCCGGGAACGCGCAAGGGCTTTCATGATTTCGACGCGCGCGCGAGAGGCCCGCTTGGCTGTGGAACCGTTAAAGCGAGCGCGCAAACATTTTTTGACTGGTCGTAGATTGCACCACGTACAAGTTGCACCACACAGGCTGCACCACATAGTTTGCGCCACATCGATTGCATGACATATATTGCGCACCGCATACATATACATATACATACATATATATATATATATATATATATATATATACAAGTGGCACGTGTGTGCCCAGGCTCATACAACAAGCTGAAGGGGCGTTTGAAGCAGGAGTGACATGCAACAGCGAAGTCGCACTCGAGCGCAAGTGGGGTTGCCACACCTTGCGATGTGTGTACCAGGGCCCCCCAGGAAGCCTCAGGAGGCCCGACTTGGATACCAGGAGAGGCTCCAGGAGGCCCCAGGATTGTGAGTGTTGTGTGTGTGTGTGTGTGATGTGTGCTTTGTGTGGTGCGTGCTTTTTGCGTGTTGTCGGTGTGTGTGTGTGTATGTTATGTTTGTCTAGCGTGTGATGTGTTGGGCGTGATTTGTGTCTCTGTGTGTGCATGTAGTTCTGAAGCCCCAGGAGGCCCCAGGAGGCCCCAGGCGGCCTCAGCAGGCCCAGGAGAACTCCAGGAGGCTCCGAGGCGGGGTCTGGGGTACCAGAAGGTCCAGAAAGCCCCAGGAGGCCCCAGGAGGTTCCAGGAGGCCCCCAGGAGGCTCCGAGGAGGGGTCTGGGGCTCG